AATCGGAATTTATCAAAAACGGCCTAAAACACCCAAATTGAAAAAATTTTTGAAAATTTTCGGCTAGTACGCGACTATTTTGCGTATTATTACGTGTGCTATTACAGATAGAGTGAACCGACTATTACGCGAGTGCATACCCCCTCGGAAGAAACAAGAAAACAGCGACAAGCTGCTAGGTCTATTTGCACGAAGGCCACCTACTTTGCACTTGTCGCTCGATGCTGCTCTGGAGGGAGGCGACGCCGCTGGCCGGCGAGTGGTCCGGCGGGTGGTCGGGCCGCAGCGAAGGCCGCAGAGAGGGCTGCTGATTGAACGAGCCCCAGGGAAAGCGGCTCCACGCCTTCTCCTTGGAGTAGCTCCACTCACCGCAGGCGAACCTGGCGGCCGAGGCGAGGCGGTCGTCCAGGTTCAACAGGCGCGATCAGTGTAGTGACGCCGTGTCCGTGAATCGGTCCGGGCGGCCGGCATGCCGCGCCGGGCGTTATTGGCAGTCCCAGCGGCGCGCCGCAGGTTTTAACGAGAAGCCAATAACGAGGCGGGCGCTCGCTTTGGTTCCGCTTTGGCCTCGCGTCGCCCTCCTGGGGACCAAGCTCGGGAAAGCCCGGGAAAGCGCGAAGACCGGCGCGTCGATTCGAGCGTGCCAGCCGGAGCGGTATGCATTTGCATGGCAAAATTGGGCCAGAGATTCGCGTCTCCAGGGGGCGCAGGGGTGGGGAGGGGCGGGGTGGAGTTTGCCCGGCGGCGGTGGGACGAACGGTGCCCGCCGCTTCACGCTTCAGCGGGGAGCCCACGAGTTTCTTCTTATTGAGAAAACGTTTTCGGGGAGCCCCGCGACGGGAGGCGGCCGAGGCCGCGGCAGGCCCCCGCCCGGGATGCACTTCGCAGGATTGCTGTGCTCGTCAAGGTCAGAGCATCAAACACCGTGGGTATCTAATGCATTGCCATGCCAGACTGCAGCACGGGCTAGAAGACTCTCTTTGCATCGGAATGGGCTGTGCACAGCGACGACGGAGAAGGCGGGGGGGGGGGGGGGGGGGGGGGGGGGCATGGAGTGGCGAGAACGGTTCCGACGTGATGGAATATTTCCCTTAACGCTGTCTCTCCGGTTTTTATTCCCTTTTCTCTTCCTTTTCATCACCGAATCCCCAATAAAGGAAAGGAGTCGTAGTAGTGCAACCCGAGGACGCGCCTCTGGGGGAGCGGAGCGCGGAGCGAGTATTATCGCCCTTATTGTCTGCAGCGAATAAGCAACGGCTCGGAAGGGATGGCGCGCCACACACACACACGCGCGCACTCACACACGCGCGCGCACACACACACACACACACACACAAACACACACACACACACACACACACAGAAAGATAGACACACAAATGCGCGCGCGCATACTCTCTGTCTGTCTGTCCGTCTCTCTGTCTGTCTGTCTGTCTGTCTGTCTGTCTGTCTGTCTCCCTCTCTGTCTGTCTCTCTCTCTCACACGGCGCCTTCGCCCACCACATAATGCACTGAGAGGCCATAACGCGGCATGAATCCGCTGGTCCCAGGCACGAAGCAGTGCGTCGTGGCAGACGCAGTCTAGTGGCAGGCCGGACTGGCTAAGTCAGGGCCCCGGTCGCAGTGTGACGTCAAGGGCCCCTTTTTCCGATATGCGTCCATTGTTTTAAATTTACTAGCCAGGGGAGGGTAAGCCGTGTTTGGTGACTTTGGGCGGCCACTGTGTCCAATCTAGTTGACGTAAAAGGCCTCCCTTGACGTTCTAATATTCTTAAGACCCCACTCTTTCATGCCCTGTATCGGGAAGACGTTGACCACAACGATTTTGCCTTTGACCGCAACGATTTTGGGACCAAAGTTGGTCAAAAAGTGGTCGAGTCTCGGAAATTTGCTGATTTTGCTGACTTTGGGCGGCCACTGTGTCCAATCTAGTTGACGTAAAAGGCCTCCCTTGACGTTCTAATATTCTTAAGACCCCACTCTTTCATGCCCTGTATCGGGAAGACGTTGACCACAACAATTTTGCCTTTGACCGCAACGATTTTGGGACCAAAGTTGGTCAAAAAGTGGTCGAGTCTCGGAAATTTGCTGATTTTGCTGACTTTGGGCGGCCACTGTGTCCAATCTAGTTGACGTAAAAGGCCTCCCTCGACGTTCTAGTATTCTTAAGACCCCACTCTTTCATGCCCTGTCTCGGGAAGACGTTGACCACAACGATTTTGCCTTTGACCGCAACGATTTTGGGACCAAAGTTGGTAAAAAAGTGGTCGAGTCTCGGAAATTTGCTGATTTTGCTGACTTTGGGCGGCCACTGTGTCCAATCTAGTTGACGTAAAAGGCCTCCCTCGACGTTCTAGTATTCTTAAGACCCCACTCTTTCATGCCCTGTCTCGGGAAGACGTTGACCACAACGATTTTGCCTTTGACCGCAACGATTTTGGGACCAAAGTTGGTCAAAAAGTGGTCGAGTCTCGGAAATTTGCTGATTTTGCTGACTTTGGGCGGCCACTGTGTCCAATCTAGTTGACGTAAAAGGCCTCCCTTGACGTTCTAATATTCTTAAGACCCCACTCTTTCATGCCCTGTATCGGGAAAACGTTGACCACAAACAATTTTGCCTTTGACCGCAACGATTTTGGGACCAAAGTTGGTCAAAAAGTGGTCGAGTCTCGGAAATTTGCTGATTTTGCTGACTTTGGGCGGCCACTGTGTCCAATCTAGTTGACGTAAAAGGCCTCCCTCGACATTCTAGTAGACCCCACTCTTTCATGCCCTCTCGGGAAGACGTTGACCACAACGATTTTGCCTTTGACCGCAACGATTTTGGGACCAAAGTTGGCCAAAAAATGCGCTTGATTTGCCGAAATCATGCGTAAAATCGGCAGAAATTTCGTGGAATACCAACAAAATCTCGCGGAATCCGGCATAATTTTGACGCAAAATTCTGCGAAATCTCAATTTTTAAATGGGTACCCCTTTGATTTAAGTACGTAAATAGTTAAAGACCGCGACTTTGCCGCGGCCAAGAAGGCCCCGCGGTGGAAAGGCCCCGTGGCCCGCGGCCGTAAGGCCCCGCGCTTGGCCCCGGGCGCGATCGCGCCCCCGCGGCCCGGGCCAGTCCGGGCCTGTCTAGTGGTCGCGCGAGGCAGCGCGAGACGCGGGCCTGGCGCTCCTATCTGCGTTAATCCGCGCCTTGTTTTAACCCCCTCCCCCCCCCCTCCCCCCTCCCTCCCCCTCCCCCTCCCCTCCCCCCTTCTCTCCCTCCCCCCTCTCCCCTCTCCCCCTCTCTCCCTCCCCCTCTCCCTCCCCCTCCCCCTCTCCCTCCCCCTCCCCCTCCCCCTCTCCCTCCCCCTCTCCCTCCCCGTACCGCTTCTCCTTTCAAAACATCAACATCCTAAATTTGCAGCCAAGGCGCAGATGAGCCACCGACAGTGGTGCGACTCCCCTCGCGAGACCCAAGACGCGGCGCACTTACTGGTAGAAGTCGTCGCACGGGGCCACCGAGTAGTTGAGCATGGAGGCGATCTTCTTGCCCATGAGGCGGCAGATGTCCGTGGAGCATTCCCTGTAGCCGTCCTTGCAGCCGTCCGCGTCCTGCAACACAGCCGAGGACGTTCAAGGACACGCAGGCTGGCACATGCAGGCATGCAGGCACGCGGGCATTCCTCGTGGAATATCCCGCCGAGCGCGCGGCCCGCCACTTTGAATCGAACGGGAATGCGAACTCGCGCCGCGGCACGCGCCCTCGCCCTTCGAGGGTGCAGGGTAGCGCAGCCAGCACCGCGCGTGTGGGCTTTGCCCGGCATTGCCAGTCGGCAGCGTCGCCCTCTCTCTCACACTCCCAAGATCCTACTGAGCTTTTCCTTCGTAATACGAACAAAAAGCTTAGTATTATGACAGCACAGCGAAGGTAGTAACGTACGGTGAGGGGTTCTCAGTAACTTATGACCATTTTCTTAGTATTACAAACATATTTCTTTGTATTATGATAGATTTGTGTCGTAGAGTACTGAGAATTCGCTTAGTATTATGACAGCACGGCATTTCTCAGTAGGAAATTGGGAGTGCACACCCGACGACCAAGCGCGAGGGAGACGCCGTTTGCGAACCAGCGTGCCGACGGACATGCCTGTGTGTTGTTTGGCTCCACAGCCCTCGCAGCTAGGGCTCGAATCTCGAAGCCAACGCGTGATGCGCTCCCCCTCCCGCGATGCAGCCATTCGAGCCCTACGGAGTCCTTTGACGTGAAAAGAGCTGATGAAACCGAATCAAGGGCGAGGCCTGCCCACGCCGCCCTGGCCACACCGGCATTCTCTGCGCGGCCCGGGGGCCTCGCCTGGGGCCTGGGGCCTCGCCGGGGGCAGAGGTCGTTTCCTACCACGACGCGCGGTCTGGCTCGGGGTCTGGCTCGGCCCGCCGCCCCACCCCCAGACCCTTGCGGCCTGACTCCAAACACTGCTTTCGTCACTCTGTCTCCGTCGCTCTCGTGGGTTGCCGCGTCCGGGTGTGACGGAGACGGCCGAGGGGCCCACACTCGGAATCAGCCTCCGCGAATGAATGAGCCGCGAGGAGGCGCCAAAGGGAGGCCAGCGAGCCCTCTGCGGCGCCGTGGCGTGCCGCGCCGTGCCATGCCGCGCCGAATCCAGCCACGCCCTCACCCCCGCGAAGTGCGGCTCGCAAGCCAACGCAGCGGGATGATGCCGAGGAGCTCTCTTTTGCACGCCGCTACGGCGAGCCGCGTGAGAGCGACAGAGACAGCGATGAAAGCACAGGGGGTGACTCGGTCCTGAGCCGCGAGGCGCGAGGGGGCGGGGCGGCGGCCTGCGGTAACGACGCTATCTAAGTGCAGATTGCAGCCGGCCGCCGCGGCGCGCCGCGCCAAGAAGACAACGGCCTGACGGAGTTTGACTAAAATTGATTGCACCCCTTTTTTGCGCTGCGGCAAAGGATTTGATGCTTTGTGGGGCCACCAGGGCCTGGGCATGCCGTGTGCGTGTGGAGGTTGAGGGTTCATCCGGCTGGGGCTGGCACTAAAATAGCCTGCTTACGGCGCGGCGAAACCGCGTCCCCCAGTGTTGTGGTGGTGGCTTTTGCCGGGGGGTGGGGGGCCTAGAGGGGGGCCCCGCCGGCCCGGCAACCTTTTTCCAGGGCGCGGCGGCGCGGCGGCTGGCGGAGTGTGGCGCAGGGTGGATTTCGCCGTTCGTTGGGTTAGCGGCATTTCCTGCAGAAAGCGAGAGAGGGGGGGGTATGGCGGTGACGGACCACGGCGTTGCGACCCTCCGCGTCAAGCAAGGCGATACGACGCCGGGAAGTGGGTCGACGCTGCCTCCCCGTAGGGCTTGTAGGCCGAGGGTTGCCGTGTGGGCCGACGTGCAGCCCACCAACCCGGCCAGGCGGCCAGGCGGCCAGGCCATCCTTTATCGGCTGGCCGTGCCCCGCGCGCCGCCGTGCGGCCATCCATTGTGTCCTCCGCGCCTTCTGTTGTGCGGGCCGAGCCTCAGCCAGCAGGGCCTCAGCCAGCAGGGCCTCAGCCAGCAGGGCCTCAGCCAGCAGGGCCTCAGCCAGCAGGGCCTCAGCCAGCAGGGCCTCAGCCAGCAGGGCCTCAGCCAGCAGGGATCCCTGGGGGACACGAAGAAACCCGATACTCCCTTGCTAACGAAGCGTCGTCGTCCTGATGCTCTCTCTCTCTTCCTCTCTCTCTCTCTCTCTCTCTCTCTCTCTCTCTCTCTCTCTCTCTCTCTCTCTCTCTCTCTCTCTCTCTCTCTCTCTCTCTCTCTCTCTCTCTCTCTCTCTCTCCCCTGCCTTATCCTCACTCTGACTGCAACAACATAACGAAAGGAAAACAACGCACGCAAACAAAGCATACACGACGCACCGCACACGCCGCGCCCCGGCGCTGCGGAGGCATTATTCTAGAGCCGAGGGTAAGCGCTGTGCTGCGCTGTGCCGCGGGAATCCCGGTCGAGGCCTGCCCTGTTTTAGCCTGACGGGGCCTGACGGGGCCTGGCGGAGCAAAAAGCACTGACCGGCGCGTCGCAGGGCAGGGCGAGGCTGGCGCGCTCCAGGGGCCTGGAGGTGATGAGGAAGAGCACGGGCGAGGCGACGAGCAGCGTGGTGACGAGCAGGGTGGCGGAGGTGAGGGCGGCGCGGTGCACGCCCGCGTTGCCGCGCAGCCACGCGCACGGCATGCAGCACAGCCACGCCCCCGCGCGGCCCCGCCCCGCGCCACCCGCGGCCGCCCCGGCGCCGTCGTCCTCGGCCAGGGCGGCGTGGTGGTCGTCGCCCGCCGCCGCCGCCGCTGCGGCCGCTGCCACGGCGGCTGACGAGGGCGTGTAGGCGGACTTCATCGTCCTGTCAACACAAAGAGGCGCAAATTGGCACAAAGAAAGGGTTCGAGCGAGGGGCTCCATCACTGCGCGAGGGGGTGAGTGATGAGGTGGAAAATCAGCGGCCGTTGGGCATAAGGGCGTAAGTCACATGGGAAACCCATTGAAAATAGGTTGTTCTGTCCGATGACCACTCAAATCACACACACAAAAAAACAGAGAAACAAAAAAAAACAAAAAAAAATGTGACTTAAGATGCACCAGTTGAAACGCAATCATTTTTTTCACGTTTTTTTTTTAAGGCACGAAGTAGCCTTATTTCTTTTTCACTCGCTTTGCAGTGTGGCGGTGCTGCTTTGCCTTCCGCTCCTTCCACTCCCCACTACTCGCTTCAGCGTCCCGTCTGACCATAGGGTATTTCACAGAATCTTGGGCCGCAAGGATACCAAGAAAGCACGCTTTGTTCAAGGCGTGCCCGGAGCCAGGGCATTACGGGAAGGCTTCGACAAAAGCCGGATTGGACGCAGCAGCCTCCAAAAATAAACGAATTTCACAACTCTGCCAACATTTTTACAAACTTCGCGAAGTCGGTCCTCCTAAACTGCGAGCTGTCAAGGCATTCCCAAGTCGGGACATGGATACGGAAGTACGACGTATCTCCGACGTAATTTTGATGTTCTTTGAGCGCGTGGGTAAAGCGTGGCAGCCCGGGCAGGGCAGTCAGTCGCTTGGATGGGTCGCTTCATCTTTCATACCGTCGCTGTGCTGCGCCGCAGAGCGCGCCGAGCGCGTCAAACGTGGTGCCCCTGCCAAGCAGCCGAGCAGCCAAGCGCCTTCTGGCGGCACCCCGCCTGCGGCGTGTGGCGGCGGGGGCGGCCCAGGGCGGCCCGCACTCCCAGTGCAATCGCGAGGAGCACGGCGAGCACGGCGCCGCCAGGGCCGACCGCACGGACAGACTTCTCGGCCTCGGCCGTGGCGGTGGCTGAGGCTGGCGGTGGCCGAGGCCTTGCGGCTCCATGCATCGTGCCCCCCACGGGGCCCGGGAGACGCTGCGGAGGGACCATCCCCCTCCCCTTTCTCTCCTGGGCCCCGACGGCCCACAGCAGCCCCGACAGCGCAGCACAGCGCGAGGGGCAGCCAGCGGCCTTCACGCGGGGAAGACTGCGCGGGCCAGGGAGCTGGGAATGCTGCCAACAGGCCGTGTACTTTGGGGAGTAAAGAGTCCTCGCCTGGCTGCCACGCTGTGCCACGCCCAGCGGCCATTGTTAAGTCGAGCTCACGTGTAAGAAGTGAGACGCCAAGATACATGGGGTGGGATGGTTTGGCCCCAAACTCCTTACAAACAAATTCAGTGCAGAAAACGCAGAAAATGGTTTTGTTTGACATTTTGGTCATAGGTTCGGTTGTGACGACAATGCGTCGGAGGGTCAGTGCGGGGCAGAACTGGACAGGGAAAGAACTGAACACCCCGTAATTTACTTTAATTACGGTGTGCAGGCAGAACAACCATCAAAAGTTGTCCCGTTGGCATCAGCGGTTAATTACACAGTAGTTGTAAAGCCTGTGCATACGGCAGTCGGAGTAAAATTATGGGGTGTTCAGTTCTTCACCTGTCCCGTCTATCCCCGCAATGACCCTAGGTAATTCTTCGAAGTGATGACTGCATCTTTCATTCGCTCTAATACATGGTTGGGGTCATACCTCGTCCGTCGTGGAGCGACTGCATTTAGGAAGTTCGGTTTGAAAAGAAGTTGCTCAGTGGCCACAGGAAGTCTGGCTCAACATAAGTATGCCGGTCCATTTGCCGACTGCCGTGCCTTCGGGGCTGACTATGACCCATTCGGCCGTGCGCACGCCGCTCGATGCATCCGGTCAGCAATGGCTGATCTACAGAGCGCTTGGGTACAAAGTCCGATCTACAGAGCGCTCGTCTACAATGACCGATCTACACGGAACCATTTTGAAAAGACCGATCTGTATTTCAAAGCTTTTTTGCTACCTCTGTCAATCCTAAAGTACGACTTGTAAAATTTCGGAACATTCTGTATTAGAAAATATGCTAAGCAAACTTCGATATAAAGGTTAAAACAACATTTTGGACGTTGTATTTTAACTTTGACAGAGATGGAAAAATAGCTTTGAAAAACAGATCTGTCTTTTCAAAATGGTCCTATGTAGATCAGTCATTGTAGACGAGCGCTCTGTAGATCGGACTTTGTACCCAAGCGCTATGTAGATCGGCCATTGCTGACCGGATGCATCGCGCTCTGCCTCCGCGACGCCGCCACGCCGTGATGCTTCGTACTCGTTTGCAACTCCGAGACGCGACGCCAAAGTTAATTATTCCCCGTCGGTTCCACTGGCTGCACGCACCACTTCGCGCACCCACCAGCCCCACTCGGAAATCACGGCCTTTGTTGTTAATGGCACGCCGCGCAGCGAATAACGCATTATTTACAGGCAAATCGTGTCAATAATGCAGCGGCCGGGCCAGGCCATGCCAAGCCATGCGCATCAACTTTTCATCTCGTGTCGTGCGGGGGCGTGTCGTGGCTTGTATTGACAGTGCCGCCCGGACGCCGGAAACCCCGGAACGCCCCGAAATGCCTCGGAACGCCCCGGAACGCCGTGAAACGCACCAGAACGCCTGCAACTCCAGGGAACGCCCCCGGCACGCCCCCGAACGCCCCGGAGCGCCTTCGGGCAGGAAATAACGTCTCTGCGGCGGCCGAGCGGCCGAGCCCCCACCGGCCTCAGCCAATTGGATCTTAGCCCGATTCGAAGCGGCCTGCCCTAGGTTCGGGCCAAAGCCAAGGCGCTAGGGAAGCCTACTTTATTTCGAGTGATATCGTTAGGGTCCGATAGTGGTGGCCAGTGGCAAGGCGAGAGAGCGGGTTCACTGATGTCCTGTGAATGTCACGTCACATCCTTCAAAGCCGGAATGTGACACATTCGTCTGAATCCCATGTCCCAATAGTTTGCACGTAAATCAAGCGTCGGTCCGGCTCGGGCTGATTCTCAATTAGACGATTGACGGTGCTACGAATATGAGGAATCTTCGACAGGCACTGTGCCGACAACAAGATCTGTGTCGCTGTGTCGGCTCGTCGGCCCAGCCAGCCGTGCAGGTCCAGCCGTCCACCGGCGGAGAGAACCAGCCAAGCGGTTTGAGAATTGTGCCCCCCCCTCCCCCTTTCCCTTTTCCGAGGCGAACCGCAGCACGTGCGGCCGGGGAGTGGGGGAATCAGAGACCGCTGCAAAGCCCCCGCCCGTGCAAAAATCCCTGCCCAGCAAAGCAAACAGCCCGCGGAGGTGAACAGCAGACGAGATCCCCTCCAGTCCCGCAGCAGCAAGCAGCGGCCACCCCAGGACAAGAAGAAAATCGCCCCTCAGACCCCTGGCCGTGGCCATGGCCCTGGCCCTGGCTGTGGCGTCGCACAGTGGGCCAGAAGGCCGGTGGAGGCGGCCAAAACTCTAGACGCGTTTTGAGCTCAAGAGTCGCTAAATGGGACTCGAATCGAACGTGTGACCCCACCAATGGATTGCTCTCCGAACGAGGAATCCATTGATGGGGTCACACGCTCGGTTCGAGTCCTGTTTAGCGACTCTGGAGCTCAAAACGCGTCTAGAGTTTTGGCCACCCTCACCGGTCTTCTGGCCCACTGTGCGTCGGCGGCGTCGCATCAAACCGGAGCTCTTCGGGGCCTTTGGCAAGCTTCGCGCAAGCCCTCGGCTGAGCCTGCCGCCGTTGCCGCTGCGCGTCGAGTTCACGGGGCTCACGCGGAGCAAAGAGCCCGCTGGTGGCACAGGGAGAGCTTTCGCGCCACGGCAAGGTCACCCCAAGGAGCACCAAATGTTTCTTCGACTGGAGTTGTTTGAACCGAAATTGTTTACCATCAGGGGAATGTGCTTTTTCATTTTAATGGCTCTAAGTCAACTCTCCTGTTATGGCTTAATTGCTACTGTTAACCTGAGATTTCATACTTACTCTTTCCCTCTGCAGAGGGTTGCCCTGAAGGTAAAAAATAGGCATGGATGGTACGTTTGGTGGGGAATAGCTCACCGCAAGAATCATTTTTCGCTCACATATAGAATCCCTTCAAGCTGTCCAAAGTAACAAAAGAAATCAAAAAGGTAGAAAACGTAACGATTTTCGAAAACAATATCAAAATCTCATTCAACGAACGTTAATGAAAGCAGATGATACTCGTTTGGTTTTCTTCTGCGGGGTGGTATGGGCTCATTCCAAAGATAGTACTTAAAATCTCATTCGACGAACGTCTGAACGAGGCCGAGCTGGCGCCGAAGTCGGCACGAGCTGAGCAGAGCCGAGGTCTGCCCGAGTCACCCTTTGAGACGTGGCAGGCGGAGAGGGATTGTCAATGTTGCGCGCGGGCCGTCGCACGCGAGGAGGGGGTAGGGTGCCATTGTCCGCGCAGGCTGCGCCTCACCGCCAGCCGACACACCAGCCCGCCCGGCCGCCAGCCCCTATATATTGTTAGGATATGCGCTTGGTTTCTGGACTTGAGAGTAAAAGCATGCTGACACCTTCATTTGTGTATAGTAGTTTTAAGTATGTTCCAAGTGTGAAGGTATCATCTGCTAAAAATTCGTGCAATGATACTGAGTGGAGCGGGTATATGGCGCAAATCCGCGCAAAAGTATAACGACAGTGTGGTCACGCTGCTCTCCATGTGCGTATCGCCTCGCAGTTTGGAAACGAGTTTGGTGAATAAAGTTTGACAAACTCGTCGGACAGCGCGCCGCGAAAGGGCAGGGCAGGGGGTACGGCTCTAGCCTGGAGGCCTGGGCGCGCCTGGCCTCCTCGGCCGGCGGCGCTTCGGACCAGCGCGGCGTGGAGC